AAAATGAATATAGCTAAGTATTTTAAATTGGGGCATTTAGAGAACATTTTCATAAATTTATTTGTTCGATGTTTTGTCAAAATTTCAACTTTTTGGGTCATTTTTTGGTCAAAAACTAGAAAATATAGACAAAAATCTTTGAAAAAATATTTTTCAAAACTGTATCTTTTCCTGTATGTATCTCATAAAATTAGTGTCTTTAGAAAATATTTTTAGAAATTTATTTGTTCAATTGTTTGTCACAATTCCAATTTTTTGTGTCATTTTTTGGTCAAAAACTAAAAAATTTTGACAAATATTTTTGAAAAAATATTTTTCAAAATTGTATCTTTTCCTGTATGTTTCTCATAAAATTAGGGCATTTAGAGAATATTTTCAGAAATTTATTTGTTAGATTTTTTTTCACAATTCCAATTTTTTGTGTTATTATTTGGTCAAAAACTAAAAAAGATTTGACGGGTCAGGATCTGCTTTTTCTGTCCTTAGTAAGAGGAAACCAACAGATCTGAAGTAGAACAGAATGAGGACGCACTCACCCTTCTGTCCTGTGTCTTCAATGGACTCTGAAAGACACAGAATTTGAAACAGTTTAGTGTCAGTAAAGCTTCTATCTGTTACTTCAGGAACCTTTAGTCACAGAGTTCGGCTCACGCACACAGTCTGTGCATATTCAAATCAGCAAAACAAAAACGCTGACTCTATTAACACGTTGTACACACGGTACTCAGTACCTCACCGACTGCAATACGGCTTCGCAGCAGACATATACTCAAGAGTGTGAGAGCGGGTAATACTGTGTTGTGCAAAAGTTTTAAGCAGGTCCAGTGTATTTATTATACTTGTCTTTTTAGCAGTGTGTTGAAAACAGATGTACCCAATGTGAAGAACAAAATCATAATACTACAGCTAAACTGAAACAGCTGATCTAGCAAAATGAACAGCAAACAAACGTGTTTGGAAAGTTTCTCAGTGCAGGTTAAAAGGAGCCAGTGAGGAGACAGAAGAAGAGCCGACGACAAAGAACGCTTCATTTATCAGCCAATTTCAGGAGTCCAACTTGAAATAAGGATTTATTGCGACAGGTTGTTTCCACGCTCCGAGCCCGTGCTGCACAACATGCGGCGAGCGGCTCTCTCATGAGGCGATGAAGCCTTCAAAACTGCTCCACCACTTGGAGACCAAGCGTTCTGCACACAAAAGACAAGCGCGATGTTACGAGGACGCTGCTGATAAAGTTACGTAAACATTTTTATTATTATATTTTTTAAAAAAAGCCAATTGTATCATTTTATTAAAGACGTAAACATTTTTATTATTATATTTTAAAAAAAAAACAGTTTTTAAGCCAATTGTATCATTTTATTAAAGACCGGTCCGTGGCACAAAAAAAAAAAAAAAAGGTCGCAGAGCGGCGCCCTGACCAACATCTATGACCAGATCGTCGTCTGATGACTGAAAGAACCAGACTGTGACCTTAACTGACAAGGTCAGTGGACAAACCAGGAAGTGGAGGTAACAAACACTGAAAACATTCACACACACACACACTCACACACACACACACTCATGTGCACAGCAGGTAGAAAGAAAAAGTTGAGCCAAGGAGAAGAATCAAGGCGTTCAGCCAAGAGTTGTGCTGCAGCTTGTCAACAGTCCAACAGTAGAGCTCCAGTATGTGTGTGTGTGTGTGTGTGTGTGTGTGTGTGTGTGAGTATCAGAGGATGAGATTACCTGCCTCTGCCATACTATATTGTACTGTAATATACTATACTGTGCTGTACTGGACTCGACTGTACTGTATGATACTGTGTCATGTTTTTTTTTTTTTTCCTTCACTTCTTTTTTTTAAACTTTTGTTGCAAACATGTACACGTTCACATAACTCTCACACTCTTGGTCACATGACCTCGACGTCGACCAAATGTTGCTGCTACAAAGTGGGTCAACGACAGATTTCTGGGAGTGAATTATGTGAGTCACACAAAGGGGATTAATCGAGCAGCTGAGACAGAAGTATCAGCTGACAGTATGTAAGTGTGTGTGTGTGTGTGTGTGTGTGTGTGTGTGTGTGTGAGGACACCAAGCAGGAAAATACTTGTATTTCCTTCTCGTCAACGGAAGACTTTTTCAATCTATAAGCAAAAAAAGAAAAGAAAAAAAGATTATTGGAATTAAATGCAAAAATATTTCAACAAAGTTAACGATGACATTTTTTTTTAAATACGAAACAATAATGATAAAAAAAAAACATTAAACTTCCTGCATAGTAAACACAGATGAACAGAAAGTGAGCAGAGCTTTTACACCAACACAACGTTCCATTAAGGACATGTTACTGCAGACTCACAATTCACATCATCATAATAATAATAATAATAATAATCTGTATTGAAAAGTCAGGTTCTTGTCTTGTTATTACTGGTACTAAAATAAAATTATTAATAATAATAATAATAATTTTTTGTTTAGTTTTCATCTTAGAAAATAAATATCATAAAATACTCTTGACTCTCAGTACTCTCAGTACTCTCAGTACTCTCAGTACTCCAGGGCCTATTTTCTCTGACCACATGTAGACCCGCTGCACCTCTGTTCTGACCCCACAGACAGCTACGCCCGGTCAGGTGTGATAAAACCAAACTCAGAGGTGTTTCCGTGGGTCAGAGCCGAGCGGCGAACGACACGACGTCTACATTTAAAGACAATCGTTCTGGCGTTCTCCTCCGCTCCGTCTCATTAAAGAACTTCTGTTTTTGTCTGTTTCTCCCGACTCTTTCCTCCACTCGGCTGACAACCTGTCAGATGAAGCAGACGAATCGGCGTCTGCGACTCCTCTGAGTCATCCTACAGACTCACTACCCTATCTTCACTCCATCTTTACCCACAATCCAGGTCAACTCTTTCTCTCTCTCTGTCTGTCTGTCTGTCTCTCTCTCTGTGAACTCAGTCTCCGACACTCCACAGCCACAGGGAGCGTCAAGTGAAGTGAAGTGAAGTGAAGTGGAGGCGGCCAGAGCCGCTCTAAATCCATTACAGCGAGACTTGTTGCCAGATGATAATGCTGTTCTGTTCTGTTGTGTTGCTGGATATAAATTAAGATAATGAAGTTCAGCCGCTGCCGGAGTCTGAAGCCTGAAGTCGTTACAGTAAGTCTTTCAGATTGTGCTGATGGAGTGGTTGTGTCGGACGATGAACGAGTGAGACGCCGGTCTGAAGACACGCTGCCGCGCCGTCTCAATAAACATCCTGGTCAGAGGAAACCACAAGCAAAAGAGCTGTCATTTAAAACAGATAGCAACTAATAATTCTAACCATCTCAGAACAAGAGATAGAACAGTTAAGAGCACCGCCTAGTGGACGCTACATAAAAAAACGTATTTGGCCGATCAAACTATATGTTAAGTTAGTGATATAAAAATATATAAAATAATATACGCTGGTAATCAAAATTCAAATGATTGAATGCATCACTGCAGTTTATAACATACATAAATATCCACTTGTTTTTACTGGATATTTAATATTTATAATAAACCTAATGGAAAAATCTTCGTTCCTGTCCACAGCACCAACACAGAGAACATGCAAACCACACACAGCCATTGGGTGAGCACTCTTCCAATCAATGGGCTTCAATAACATGTTCCATAAATGTAAAAAAAAAAAAAAAAGAAAAAAGTCTGTGTTTATGTCATATTAAACTTGTCGACACCAAAGACAAAAAAGAAAAAGTGAACAAGTTCACTTTTCCCAGCATGACCGCTGCAATGCCCTGGAGGACCAGATGAGGTCTGGACACCCCCTCTTGAGAACCACTGCATTAAAGCACCGCTGCACACAACACACTGGACACTCTGTTATTGTCATGTGACCGACGTCCACACACTGCGTAAAACAACGGCACCGTCTGCAGGAATGAACCGTGACATTAATCTGATAAACCACACACACACACTCACACACGCACGCGCGCACGGCAGTCACCGTGTCCTCATGTCACCCGTACACTCATCTCTTACCAATGCAAAGCTGCAGAACATAGGCGTAGTAGGACCACGCCACTATGAGGGCGATGAACAGAACCGGGATCCAGTACAGAACTCTCTGACAGCCACGCTTGATACTCCGAGAGCCCGTCGGTGCCATGGTGTTAGGAGAGGAGCATCTCTGCTGCGCATTCGTCTGTTTACTTCTCTACCTCCTCTCTGTCTGCTCACTCTCTCTCTCTCTCTCTGTGTGTGTGTGTGTGTGTGTAGTCTGTCTCTGCACCGCAGCTCCAGCTCTGATCGCCTCTAATCGGCAGCTCAGACGCATCATTCTACAACCAGCTTCCTCCGTGTGCTGCTGCTGCTGCTGCTGCTGCTGCTGCTGCTGCTCTGATCCTCCGCTTCTACAGAAAAACACCAGACAGAAGACACACACACACACACTTGTCTCCCTACAGCTGTGAGGACCTACTACCATCTGTAGTGACTGTAAACACTGCCGTGAGTCAACATTAAAGTGATGTTCAGGATGAAGAGTAATACTCTAAAAAAAAAAAACTGAAAATATTCTGATATTCTTTGTTAATAAAAATATGTTAATAAACATGTGACTTCTCCTTCTTCCCTGCAGGTGGTGCTAGTTCTTCCTTTTTTCTCCGCTTTTTCTCTTCCCTTTCTTCTCCTCCTCCTCCCCCATTCCTTGATCCCTTTAATGCTGATGGAGGGAGATGAAGCCAACCCCACCAGTTATCAGGTGGAGGGGACCTCATACATACAAAGACTGGGAATCAAACCAGTGACCTTCTTTCTGTGAGACCAGAGCAGTGATCACTGATGTACCGAGTGTCCCCCCAAAAAACTATACATTTTTTTTTTTTTTAAATTCACAACCTGTTTCTTTAAAGTGAGGCCAAAACTAAGCTTGTCCTCACAACCCAGTTAACGCACGTACACACACGCACGCGCGCGCACAGCCTCTCTGCTGCCATGACATCCGTGGATGCTGCAAGTCTGGCACAATTTTTCACTGAGCGAATGAGTTCAGTGGGTTCATACTCGTGAGTTTCAAGTAGTGTCTGTTCACTCGCAGGACACACACACACACACACACACAGACTGCAGATACACACACACACACACAGACTGCAGATACACACTCCTGAAGCTGCAGAGGTTTCTCAGATTCCCCCTCTCTCTTATTTTCTGGTTCCTCTGGTGTCATTGAGGAACCAGCCGGAACATTTGAACCTCCGCAGGTTCAGACAAAGTTCACGACATTAAAAAAAAACAACACCTTTGTTTTTTCTTCCTGCTACATTTCGCCTCCCGCCATATTTAAAAATCATCATAATATCCGTTTATCATTTTCACAATTTTTTTTTTAAGCGATTATTTGCGACAGCAAATATTTTCACTTCAGGGATGCTGCTGGATACAGGCATCCCCAAGGTGACTCTTTGGCGCCCCCCCACGGGCAGCGCTAGACTACAAGTTCAGTCTACTTACAGGACATACATACAGGAACGAAGATTTCATTAGAGACCAAATGCAATTAATAAAGTTGTAATATTTCTGACTGATCTACGTCACTGAAACGTTACCTATGGGAATGGATGCTAAGCTAAGCTAGGCGAAAATAATCGATATCATTAAGACACAGTTCATGGAGGCAGGTTTTAACCAAACGACATACAGGAAGTTAACCCAGGCAGGTTTTAACCAAACGACATACAGACACAGTTAACGGAGGCAGGTTTTGACCAAACGACATACAGAATGTTTGGGAAACATGTAGAAGCACTACTTACCGAGACGAGCTTTCGTAGGTTTGACGTGGAAGTTTCGAGAAAGAACAGCTCAGTCTGCCGGGGCAGTCGCTCGCAGGATGAAGTTATTTCCTTGGTTTGGATTTGAAAACAAAGCGCTGGCTGAGATTTGGTCAAGGAGTTTCTCCTTCTTCTTTCCGAGTCCTCAACCCTCAACCTCCATTTCCGGTTCGGCACCAGCGGTCCAACGACCGCCTCCAGTTCTGTCTCTTTTTTTTTTTTTTTTTTTTTTCCTATGAAGCTTTTTTTTCTTGGTGTTTTTTGTGGCGAAGTTAAACGTTAAAGTAAAATTAACTTTTCCCAAAACGACTTAAAAATTACAAATTACTAAAAAAAAAAAACTCGATAACAGTAACGTAAGTAAATGTAATTCGATACTTTTCACTTCGGCATTTCACACAGTTACATTTGTTGTGGTAAATGTTTGATGCCTGGTCCAAAATCATGCAGGATTAGAGTTAATTATTCACACTAAATTAACCATAGGTGTGAATGTAGACTGTACCCACACCAGAGAAGGCACTTGGGCGCCTTCTTGTGGTAATTTGGGCATTTTAAAATTGAATTTAAAAAAATATATTTTTTACAATTACCATATCTACCAACATGTTTACCTGTGTGAAAGGAAAAAAGGTTTTTAATCCACATTCCTTGAATATATTTTTATGCGTTTTTATTCCCAGGGCATACGTCTTATTTCTGCACCTGGTATAAACTGCTGTTCACAGAGAGAACTGAAGAAAGCAGTCGTAGGAATTCATACGTAAACAAGTCGCTCTGTTGTTTTCTCAGGCAGGTGTTTCTTTCCTTCAGTAAATTATTTCCCTGCTGCATGAATCATTTCCAGATTAAAACAGTCCCTGATTAGAATGTTGGACGTCCACAGCCCTGGGTTCCTGATGATTAATACGGTTAATGATTCACCTTCAAGTGGAGGAAATAAAAAAAACTAAAAAAAAAAACTGATTCTTTCTACAGTGAACCTGCTGTCAGTCTGTAGAGGTGGTGAGAGAGGAGTGATAGAGAGAGAACGAGAGAGAGTAAAAGACAGCTCACCTGAGAAAAGATCTAACGTTAGCCACAACAATCCTAAGGAACCATACTTAACATTAGCTGCAACAATAGAGCTAACGTTAACTACGACAGTCCCGTTAAAGACCTCCTAGCTAACGTTAGCTACAACAGTCCTGGTACAGACACCAGAGCTAACGTTAGCTACGACAGTCCCGTTAAAGACCTCCTAGCTAACGTTAGTTACGACGGTCCTGGTACAGACACCGAGCTAACGTTAGCTACAACAGTCCTGGTACAGCCACCGGGGCTAACGTTAGCTACCACACTCCTGGGACAGACCCCAGAGCTAACGTTAGCTAAAAAAGTCATGGTACAGACACCAGAGCTAACATTAGCTACGACAGTCCCGGTAAAGAACTCCTCGCTAACGGTAGTTACGGCGGTCCTGGTACAGACCCCGAGCTAACGTTAGCTACGACAGTGTGTGTTTTTGTGAAATTGACAGAAGGAACAATTATAACCAAAAATCAAAAAAAAATTTTTCAGTCGCATTTTTATTGGCTAATGTTTTCACCCATGTAACATCAATGAAGTAAACGTCCGACACGTGGACAGAAGGTAGTAAAAGACTTCAGGAGGTAGACAAACATTCAGGTATTTAAGGGTTAAAGGGAAATACACTTAGTCAGGTTACTCTCTGAGTTTCTAACATGACGATAGATTAATTATTTTTTTTAAATTTAGTAGTACTTTTATCAATAGTTCATTTGAATAACTCTGTGGAGGAGATCGAGTGCAAACTTAAAGGGAGAGTCATCTTCATCCACCGCTCATTAAAACTAACATTCATTTCTGTCGTCTCCTGTGAGGAGGGACACACATATGGCTTCAGAATCGAGAGTTGTTTTTTTTTTAAATTTTTTTTTTGCATATCTATAAAGAGGTCTGATCTGTGGCTTAAAAATAGCATCTGTGTGTAGAAGCCAAACAATGATTAAGAGTGTGAGCTGTGCCTGTAGTTAAAGAGAGAGAAAACTGTGCGTGCTCTCAGGCCTGCTGGCTCTGGGGAATCCTGCAAGATTTTAGCTGCAGAGCTTTGGGACAGAGAGGAAAGGTGGGGGAGGAAGGGAGGCAAGGGGGAGGGAGTGGTGCTGCTGTCCTAAGCTGATCTGTGCAGGGGGCTGCAGTACCAACAAACTGTACACACTGTACTACATGTACTTATCTGAAAACTTTAAAATAAAACACAATAAAATATAAAGTTGCAGAGTGATTAGGCTTCAGACCAGAGGTTCCCAAAGTGGGGGGGTCGGGCCCCCATGAAGGGTGGATACCCCTAACATATCTATATTTCTTTAAATTTATAGCATAGTGTGCAAAACTCACATGATTACACAATTATCCTAACGACCTAGGGGGGCGCTGCAGAGGCAGTTTGGGAGCCACTGCTTTAGAAAGTAAATATTCTGACACAGTAAACTGAACATGAATATTTAAACAGGTTGAAAGTTAAATAAACCCATCAGTGCAATTTACAGTAGAAATCAGAACTTTGTCCTCAGTGCATTCATTAAGACTTTTTTTTTTTTTACCACTTTCACACGGTTACTGTTTGGTCGACCACTTCCTGTTTGTGCCAATCCTGTTGGTTTAAGCTTGGTGGCCTGCGTAACTGCCTGTAGTGAAGGAGACACAGACACAGACAGAGAAGATCATCGTCAGTCAGTCTGTGGTGACACATGCACTGACCAGCAGACAAACACAGGAAAGACACACAATACATAAACCACTGTACTAATACTACAGTAATACTAACTAGTAGAAATATTTACTGGATCATAAACGTGCCGTAGATTCAGTGCTTTTGACATCATTTCTAATCAATCGTCGCTCATTCATAAACGTTAACATATTTGTTATAATATTATTTCCCAAATTCTATGAAACTTTACAAGTGACGATTCAGACTTTAGGGATAAAAGTCCTCTGTATTTTATGTATTTTTAAATTGCTGACAGACCTGTTACGCTGTGATGTCATTCCCCTGTTTTTTACTAAAAAAGATTATTGAGAAAATGTTAGTTGTTTTTTTTACCTATCTTCCTGAAAGCTCCTTCTTCATGCAGCTCTTGAATGAAGTGAATTTCTCCTCCACTCTCAAGCCCTGAAAAATAAGAACAGATAACAATACATTTCCCCTCTTGTTCCACTAGATGGCGGTGCAGCTTCGCACAGAGGCGACTCACAACCCACAGAAGTAAGACGTGTTGGAGTAATAAAAAGTGACAGCAGTGTAATTAGGACATGACAGCACAGGGGTGTTTGACTCCACCATTACCTGAAGAACACCGTCATAATGAGAGAGTTCCTCGGGTTAGAACACAACTGAAAACTGCGGCTCCTACTTCCGTGGAACTAATTGTTCCAAACACAACAAGCTCTTTGTTTTGAAAATAAACCTCGTCACTCAGGAGAAGCCCGGTGGGTTTGTTTGTTTGTGAGTGGCTGTACATAAATACTGACTAGACTCTGAGACACGTTATATTCTAAAAAAAACTTCTACATAACAAAATAATAAAAAAAAAAAAATATATATATATATCATTTATGGCCACAAGAGGGCACGCTTTACAGTCGCCTCTCCTGCCGTACTGGGAAAACGACACGATTGGACCGCAGAGACTTAAAGAATAAAAACCGTTACCAAACGGAAACCTTAACGCCGCGAATTACAACTAAAAATGATAAAGTACGGAGGACAAAACAGTTTAGAAGGACAACGACGATGAACGGATTCCGTGATTTTGAACTTGTTAGCCTGTCAGGCTAACATATTTAGCCTATGTTGTGTATATAACAGTCTTTGTAGATAAAATGCTCGTTCTTGGAAACTTATTAAAAGAAGTCCCCCAAAACGAAATGGTTTAAAGTCTGGTCAATACAGTAGGACTTTGAGTGAATCAATAACTGGAAATAAAAGGAGCTGTTTTGATCGTACACTTGTGTTGTTTATAAAAATGTTTCATTTAAAATAACTGTATTAAAGTAGTTATTGGTAGATGTAATAGTGATGAATGTACTTGAGATTTCAAATGGTGGAAATATTGTCATTTATTATTTTGATTTTTATTATTATTATTGTGTTTAAAATATTATGAATAACTGCGATAGAATGTATTTCATTTCACCTGAACTATGGACTAATATTTATTTAAAAAAATCTCAGTTGACAACAGTTTTACCTCTGTGTGTGTGTGTGTGTGTGTGTGTGGTGACAGGAAGTGGCTGCACTGTTCAGTGTGTGTTCAAACCACTGAACCACAGGTGGATGTTTAAAAACCACCGCTGCTCTCACCCTGCTGCCGCGGTGCAGCCGCTCCTTCATGACGCCGATGAACTCCTTGTGGCTCAGCTTGTCGTCGTGATCCTCGTCAAAGATCTTGAAGACGGTGTTGACCAAGTGTCGGGTGAGTTTGATCCCCGTGGCCACGTAAACAGCTCTGGCAAACTCCTCTAAAAAACGACAGTCGAAGAGACAAGACCGATTTAAATCGACTTAAAAAATGGCCTGCCTACTGCAATGCTAGGTTTCACCACTAGCTAGGACAACTAGGACAAAGACAGTGCAGTGAAGCCGGTCAATGACTTGCGGTGACTCCTCACCTTGACCAATGGAGCGGTGGGCAAAGTTGTACATCTGCATGGCGATGGCGAAGTCCTCCAGGTTGTTTAAGAACTGAAAGAAAGAGCGGAACTCCTCGAAGGTGATTCCCTGCGGAGAGAGAGAGACGTTCTCATCAAACATGAACCATGTGAAAAGTAACAAGTGCCACATACGAAAAAAAAACAAACAAAAAAAACCTTTGTGTGTGTCCACACGAGTGCTGCAGTTCACACAAATCCTTTCATCCTGCAGTGTGTGTGTGTGTTTCTGGAATAGCTGTACTAGAGGGGACCACGGAAAATGACTGCTGTCCTGGGGACTTTTTTTACATGTTTTTTTACAGCAATATTACACATTTGTAATACGTAAAGTTATGACAGTGTTTCACAAAGTAGGGGGCGGGACCCTCTTCGGGGGCCACAGTGCTATTGCACGTAGGAGCAGCAATAAAAATTAATATCCATTTACTAATTTTGTTGATTTGTGGCACATGAGGGAAAATTTAACTGATTTTTAAAATTTTAATTCTATTATTAAATGCCAATTGTTTTTGTGGGAATGAGAATATTTCAAATAAGGTTCATTGAAGTTTGGAGACAATGGCTGTGAACGACATGGGGGGGCTCGACAAAGATCCTATCTTCTAAAGGGGTGCGCTGCAAATGTGTGTGTGTTTGTATGGGACCTTGAAGGCATCAGATAGATAACACACCCAAACAGACAAAGTATACACTTGTGGATTTTCCCTGCTTAGTATGGACACGCTGAGCTGTCAGCAGTGTGTGTGGGGGGGCAGGAGAGGAGGATGGAGAGAGAGAGGGTGAGGGGTGGAGGAGGAGGGGTGGGGGGTTCTGCTACAGCTTTTGGGGAGAGGTCAGGCCATATACAAACTTTTCCTAAAGCAGATTAACCTGATACTTGTATAAACAAAAACAAAAGTGATGAATCCCCAAACATCTCAGGCCTGGCTGATGACTCAAACACTGAGCCCATTGATGTCCACTCAACCGTCCCACAGCTACCAGGTCCTCCCCTCGCGGGGGCCCCCCGTCCAACAGGCAGCACACACAGCATAACAAATGGAGTAATGACTAATCTGTGACGCTTTGCTGTTTTAACAAGGAGACGGCCATAAAATATCTCTCGGCCCGACGATGAGACCCACTTGATTGTCAATGGAGATCTAGCAACAGGCTCCTCCAGGCGGCTGCCGTGCTTTTCAGACGGGTCAGCGTGCTGAGAGCGAAAACACATTAAAGCTCAAATGAGGATGCTTCACTCAACAGCTTATTCACACAGCGCTGCTGAAGAGACACATGGGAGGAAATCACAAACTGTACAGTTGGCGCACACACACACGGCTGGGTCTCAGTGTGATGAGAAACAGGAGTTTCACGTCTGTTCTGACCAAAATATTAACATTTTATTGGTATAATAATTAGGACAGGAACTAATTTTAATGTTTTAGTTAAAGTAACAAAACAGGGTAAAAAAAAATTTAATTAAAAAATTACCCATTATCTATTTTTTTTTAACATTTTCATAGATGCCTACTCCAGTCTGCAAGCGGCAGTAATGCACCAAGTTCATTTGTGACAACAACAGTCCTGGTACAGACACCAGAGCTAACGTTAGCTACAACAGTCCTGGTACAGACACCAGAGCTAACGTTAGCTACAACAGTCCTGGTACAGACACCAGAGCTAACGTTAGCTACAACAGTCCTGGTACAGACACCAGAGCTAACGTTAGCTACAACAGTCCTGGAACAGACACCAGAGCTAACGTTAGCTACAACAGCCCTGGTACAGACACCAGAGCTAACGTTAGCTACAACAGCCCTGGT